CAGCAGCAGCTGTTGCTGCTGCTGCTGCTGCTGCAGCAGGAGAAAAAATACCAGCAGCAAACATTCTCCCCCCATCATCATACACCTCATCAGGCCCAGACAACACAAACCACACTGCAGCCTGAAACGCAAACCACGCGCTCTGCTGCAGCCGCAGCTTCGCCCCCTCATACTCTCGCCGCAGGCACTGCCGCGCTCTCTCCTCGAGGCCCCAGGAGGCCCCCCAGGGGGCCCCCAAGGGGACCCCAAACGAGCCCCCAAAGGGTACCCCCAAGGGGGCCCCCAACGAAACACAGGAGAAAATATCTTCGCTGCGCAGCAGGCCGGGGCCCCCGGGGCCCCCAGGGTTTGTCGATGGCAGCTTACAGATGTCTCCCTCGGGATCCTCACGAGAGGGGCCCCCGCTGCTGCTGTTGCTGCTGCTGCTGTTGCTGCTGCAGCTGCTGCTGTTGTTAGTGCTGCTGCTGATCCGCCCCGGGATGTTAGGGACGCGTTCACCTATCCCTGGGATCGCGGGTCTGGGTTCTTCTTTTGTTGCTGTCGTTGCTGCTGCTGCTGCTGCTGCTGTCTCCGCGCTGGTGTGGGGGGCCTCGTATACCAGCAGACCCTTAGATACCCACACATGGGCCCACAGGCAATCCCTGAGGTGTACAGACAGCTCAAGGCTGAAGCCCTCGCGCCGCAGAGAAGAAGAGGGGGGGCGGCTGGGGGAGAAGTCCCCGCTGCTGCTGCTCCCCGGCGCAGCGCGCGGGGATCGACCCCACACATCGTCTCCCGATACTTGCTGCTGCTGCTGCTGCTGCTGCGGTTGCTGCTGCTGCTGCTGCTGCTGCAGCTGCAGCTGCAGGCGCACCTCCGCTATCGACTCCTCCCGCCCATCCGCCTCCCCAGCTGTCACACCTGAGACAACAGAGAAACGCACAGACACCACAAAAAAAAAAATAAATAATTTATCTACATGCAACAACAACACCAGCAGCGGCAGCAGCAGCAGCAGCAGCAGCAGCAGCAGCAGCAGCAGCAGCAGCAGCAGCAGCAGCAG